CTTCCTATGTTGCTGTCTTGGCCACTCCTACTGCCCTAAGTAATTTTAAAAGCTGGTTTACATATCTCACCATTATGAAATTTATATATATTCAATATGAACATTTTAGAAAATTACAGGAAAATATTCTCAGAAAAAAAAATGTTGGACATTTTCAGAAGAAAAGATTTCCTGTACCCACTTGGTTGAAATTAGACTGAATACAACCCACATCTGTCATTTCACTTAACTAGGAAGCATTGCTCACGTTACTGCCAGCCCTCCCTGTGTAGACCTGGTTTAAAGAGCTGCACAATGTTCTCCGACTGGAGGGACTGTAACTAATTTCCCTCATTTACGTTACTTCCAATTTTCCACAATTGCAGTGATAAACAAATAATGCTTTAATGAGCAGGAAGCTTTGTGGAGAAGGCTTTTTCTGATTATAAGATTATTTTCTTAGGCTAAAGGCAAGGTAATTATGAAGGTTTTTTGATACCCTTGCCAAACTGCTTTGCCAAAGGACTGATTCAGTTTTCCCTCTGGCCAGCATAGCCCCACTGCTCCCAGAGTGTTCCATCGAGGCATTGCATGGCCAGGTCTCATTCATTCATCTGCAGTTCATCTCATTCCTCCCATTCATTCATTCATTCACTGAGCACTGTGCCAGTGGCCTGGGAATGAACCAGATCCAGCCGTGCCTGCACAGCCAAGCAGGGAAGACAAGGTAAATAAACTCAAAGCTAACACAAAGTAGACAGACTGAGACCCTCAGGGTGAACACGGCAGGATTTCTGCACAGAGAGAGGACATCGCGTTCAGACTGGCTCAGAAAGCGGGCCCAGTGTAGGTTTGCAGGAGAGTCGAGAGGTGTCGAGAAAATCGTTGTTTGGATTGATTGATGTTTTATTGATTGATGCGTAATGAAAGACATGCTCTCTTTGTAGCGGTGAATCTGGGGCGGGGAAGACAGAGACTACCAAGCTCATCCTACAGTTCCTGGCCACCGTCAGCGGCCAGCATTCGTGGATTGAGCAACAGGTCCTCGAGGCCAACCCCATCCTGGAAGGTAAGTGGTCCCCCAGGAACCAGCCTCCTTCCCAGGCCCTGCAGGCTGGCACCTTCCTGCCAGGGGTGCTGTGAGGACGGAAAGGATAAACCACACACTCCCAGAGGCTTCTCAGGATTTCTCAGGACATGAAAGACAAGAATGGGGTGCATGATAGTGTGGGGCTCCCAGGAAGCACAGGGAAGAAAGACTCTGATGACCCTGTTAAGTTTTCATAAGTGTATTTTCCATGGGATCTTAACAAGTATTCCATTTTTAAAAAGGGCTGCAAGACGAAGTCAATTTGGGAAATGCCCAGTGTGCCAGTTCGGGTCCTCTGGGAAGCAGTTGCTCAGCTTGAGTTAGGACTGCAGGAGATTTACTGAGGGGTTACCCATGCTAAAGATGAAGCAGGAGGAGGCAGGAACAGGTGGGCAAAGCCTCTGGACTGGGGTGCTGGGAAGAAAGAGCAGAATTGGACAGGGTGAGATTCAAGATGAGACGCCGATCTGACAAGCCTTGGCCAACCCTATTGGGAGCTCTGAAGCCAAGTGCCGGTTAGAGGAGTCCTGCATTAGACCCAGAGCCTTGTCGCCCACCTCCACCCCACCACCACCCCGGCTCAGTCTCTGGTCGGGGTGGCCCAGAAATGTGTGACTTGGCCCTGAGGCTGTCAGCCACTGGTCAGCACGGTCCCTCTTGTTTCTTTGTAATTTGCTATACATACAGTAAAAATTCACCCTTTTTTGAGGTACAGCTTTATGAGATTTGACAAACCCTTACAGGCATAGAAGCCCACATTCCCTCAGAAGGTTTCCTGCCTTCCCCATCACCGTGGGACTA